TCCCACAAGCGTAATAGTGCTGCAGGAAGGTGGCGGAGAGAGGAAAGACAAAGACAGAATACAAATGGACAGTAATAAATATTGTTTTATACAAGGCTATATTTCCAAACATACATGTTACATTCAAATGAATCTCTTCCTCTCATACATTTGACTTACTTTGTCTTAGTCTTGCTTTTGCTCTTGTTCCCAGCCCCAGGTATCACTGTGCCTCCAGTCACTCCAGTTGTCCCTCCTGGTGTTTTGGCTTTGCTCTTTTTATCAGCTCCTCCTGTGATTTTGGGCATTGTTCCTCCAGCTACAGGACTTTTCTTCTTGCTTCCTCCTCCACTGGTCTTTTTCTTAGCAGCAGACACTACAGTCACAGTGCCCACAGTTTCTGGGGAGGTCTGTGTGGATGGAAGCTCATCCTGGTTCAGGACTCTGGGCAGGTTCTTCTCACCACGTGCTTTGGCCCGGGCTATAGCTTCAGCCACAATGCGGTTTGCTTTCTCCTGCTTGCACAGGATCTCAACTCGCCGCACAGAGGCAGGCTCGCCAGGGGCCTTGGTGATGCGGATGGCCTGGGACGGAGTGGTCGTTGTAGTGGAGGGGCCTGCAGCCGATGTGTTGATGACCTTCACCACAGAGACTGTGCCGCCAGCTGAGGATGCTGCGCTTGTCTGTGTGAAGGAGAATGTTTAATAGTGCGGAAACTGTTTTGCATTTTCTGCCACACAACACACACACACACACATTTTGTTTGCAGTGGTATTTAAATTAAGAAAATGTTGACAACTGGATGTCTACCTGTGGCTGCAGAAGCATTTTGAGTGGCACTGCAACTCTCTGTCCTCCTTGTCCTTGCGAGATCTGCAACACCTGTGGGCTGCCAGTATTGCCAGCTCCTGAGACCAGCTGGTACTGTGAGAACAAAAGAAGAGACAGGTCAAGTCACAGTCACCATTTTCAAAATAGAAAAAGTATATAAAAAAAATCCTAACAAGACAATGTCCGGTTAGATGCAACCCATTAAAACAGTTACAGTATATGATCATTTGGCAGGATTTTGAAACTTGTTTGGTGTCTTATCAACAGTCAGATAAGAGCTGTAGAAATTTCATCTTTGTTCTGTAGCACAGATATCAGTCCAGGTTGTTTTTAGGCTTACCAGCTTTTGAGTTGTGGAAAAACATCTTTGACAGTTAGGCTAACTATTTCACTTAAAACTAGGTAAACACATCCTGGACGAATTTCGGTTCTAAATGCACAGAGATGAAACTGATGTTAATCTTTTCATCTCTAACTCTGGATAAGACATCAAACATATTTGTCAAAATGATGTTGTGATAATCTAGCAACTTCATTATGATTAACAGTTATGTATAACATTATTTGGAGGATATGTAACTTTTACCAGATCAATCAATTTGACTCTGTTGCCCGATATAAAAAGCCACACTGCTGATTTTTAACCTGGAGCTATTCAGTGTTATGTAATAAAGACGATGAGAAATTATTATACTTTATCTTTATATTCACTGGCTACAGTGTGCCAATGCAAGGTGTCATTCAAAACAATGTATGTCCTTATATGGAAAATAACAGCTAGCGTTAACATTAACTGCAAATAGATAGTATATGGGAATGTTCCCTCATTTGGACTGATCTGTTCCGGCTACACAAAAGTAGCTATTGTTATTTTGCAGTGTACTCTAACAGTATGTGCAATACTAACTTTGCACATCTGAAACAAATGCTCTGATCCAACACAAATATTAGCGAAGTAAAATATTAGTTATGTCGAGACACATTTGTTGTGGTAACAGGGTGCACTTTGCCAGGCAGTGGTATGTCACAGGGGGTCAGATTTCAGAATACACCATTTGAAATAATTGACTACTGAGCAACGGTTGAAAACATTACTGCAAGAAGACGAATGTCAATATTGCGTATATTCATTTCAGTAACATTCAAGACCTTCAACATGCACTTTCAATTGCATAAACCGAGGATCACTGGCAGTTTACATGACATCTTAAAAGAACACATTTTTGAAAAAGGGAGCATTGGAGCGTGAGAGAGTAAAAATATATTACATATACAGCAGGAAAACTCCAATCTAATTAAACAGTTACTCCTAAAATCTAAAACACTCCTTTCTCACCTTGACTCCTCCTTGTTGGTTGGGCTGCTGCTGCACCTGCAGCTGAATTGTGAGGACTTTGGGCTGCCCTCCAGCCTGGCCTGCAGTGCGAGCTTGGGTCAGGGCTGCTAGCTGGCTTCCCTGGATCACCAGTTTGCCTCCAGGGAGCTGACCCAGCACAAGTCTAGCTGGGGCTTGGGTCTGCTGTCCTCCTTGGGTTGTCTGAACCTGCTGGACTTGTGTGACCTGCTGCTGAGCTGTAACAGCTTGACCCGCTGACACAGTAGAGCCAGCCTGAGGGGGCTGCTGGAGAACCAGGGTGATCCGCTTTGCTTCACCACCCTAGAATCAAATACACAGAATGAGATTGTGTCCCCTGCTGTAGTACAGCTGTCAGGGCGACACCTTGCAGTCTGCCTGCTGAGGCAGAAGCGTTGGTGCTTACCTGCGTTTGGGCCTGCATGGCTGGCTGGAGTTGCACCTGGCCCTGAGCCTGGACCTGGATCTGGGCAGCCTGGGCCTGGGGCTGGACTTGGACTTGAGTCTGGCCCTGAGCCATCTGTGCTTGGGCTGGGATCTGCACCTGAATCGTCTGGCCTTGCGTCTGCTGCACCTGCTGAGGCATGGAGGTCAGCAGCATCTGTTTCACTGGCCCATTGGGAGACTGCAGCAGCCTTTGCACCCCAGAAGAACCCACCTTGACTTGAGCCTGTCCTGGGCTCGCCTGATTCAAGACTGTCCCTCCCTGTAGTATAGACATGCCAGGTTTAAGAGGAGTACCAGACAACACACGGATGACCTTCCCACTGGTCTGGCCTGTGGCTCCTGATACAGTCTGCAGCACCTGGGCTTGACCCTGGGGACCTTTGAGAATGACAATTTTACCACCCGCCTGTTGTGTGATGGCAGCTAACTGCTGTGGAGTGAGCTGGTGAGTTATCTGTGTGAGCTGCTGTGTGGTGGCGGTGGTGGTGGTGGCCGGGGAGCTGGAAACAGTCAGAGGTGAGCTCAGCAGGACAGTGCTACTCGTGACCCCGCTGGTGTTGCTGGAAATGGCCATGGTGGTCTGGGCCTGAATCTGAGGTACAGTATCAACAAGGGCAGGAGCTGGGGCTACAGCAATGGAAACAGTCTGAGCAGTTGCCACTGGCGCCGGCTGCTGTGTGGGGACTTGAATGGGGTCAGGGTCCGGGATGGCAGGACCTGCTACAGGAACAGTAAGACCTGCGTTGACCGTGAGCTCAGACTCTGCTGGTGGGTCCACTTGGCCCAACGCCAGCTTAAGGGCCTCCTCCACTGGGTCTGAGGAGCCTTGAGAGAAGGAGTCGTCCGGTAGGGCATCCAGGTTAAACAGAGGTGTGTCCTCAAAGAGGTCCATGATGGGGTCTGCCATCTTGCCCACTCCACACAGGGAGACGGGCACAATGTTAAAAAGACTCCGAGATTGAAGCTAAATAGTCACCGTCCAGTTCTTCTCAGCTTTTAACCAAATAGCTGGTAAAAGAGGAGAAACACTGATGTCAATGAAGCATAAGTTATTAATGACTTTGACATTATTAAAAATAACATACTGCTTATTATACAGCTCAAACATGTTTCAAACCAGGATACAACAACTGAAATTTGGTGTACCTCATTCAATAGTTAGTACAAGTTTAAGTGTACAAAGATAGCAAAGAGCAGACAGAAGCCTGGCAAAGGCAGCCCTATTCAGCAAAAGAAAATACTGTCACTCTGGTCCTTGTTTCCTTGTCAGCTTTAAATTTGTTTCTCTGTTTCTTTGACGCATATCAACATCTTTCATTTAAGTCTGATTTACTAAATCACAGACGCCTTCTATATGAACACACTCACATATATATTATTAAGATCGGTGACTGAAATGATCACTGTGAGTTTAGTGCATCAACCTTCTAATTCATTTAACAAATATTAAGTAAAAGTGTATATATCTATATATAGAGAGAGATATAAATAATATAACATTCAGTTAGCTAATGATTAGCACTGGATTATAAAAAATATATTGTTTATGAATAAAACATCTAACTCGTGGCCACATTGTCCAGAAAAGGGTTTCAGTGTGATATTTAAAGGTTTAGGGGGGGGAATACAAATCCAGGCAGTTTCAATAGTAATATACAAAGCTAGACTACCCAGGGAAGATTCAGTGAATGAAAATAGTTGGCGGTGGAGTCAGACGAGGAGGGTAGTGATGCTGGAGAGGTAGGATGCTTTTCCTCTCTGGTCGTATGTTGCAGTCTTTCTCACAAAACCGTCTGCTAGCATTAGCTTGTACCGCGACCAAGATGTGCCTTAAACAAAAGCCTGTGTGGCTACGAAAACATATTCAGGCGTATAAACACGGTGTAGTTTATGTTTGGAACCGATACCTCGCTTCTCTGTCATTTACTACTAACCATCCAGTCTACCGGACTCCTTCAATCTCATCAACAAACCGGACCAAACCAAAGCAACGTGCCACAATAACCATTGCCCGTCAACGTTCAGACACGGGTTAGGCCGCAATACTGTTTCGGTTGGTCCGCGTCTATTTTTCGGCAAAAATACCTGAAAATAACCATCATAACCACTGCCCTAACTCTCACAGTAATAATTTCGGGGTGCTAAATTTACCTTTGCATCGACACACATGGCTTTCTCCGTCTCACAACACTGTACGATTACAGGAAACGGCCAGGGAAGAGCAGGAACTAACATTCTTGCCAGAGAAAGCGTAGAAAGCGTGCCCCTCCGATGTTATCAAGCGATGATTGGTCCTTTTTCTCCCAAGCCGGCACCATACGCGAGTTTCATTGGCTGCGCGAGCCATCCCTCACATATGCGGCCCCTTCTGGGCGGGATGAGAGCCTGTAGTTAGGTTGAGAAAACACTAAATGCGGCCTAGCTTGGGATCATTTGACTGAGTGATCTTCAACATTGCTGTTTTACTGCCGTGGATGCGCACAGTGGAAAGCGCTGGCCTTTTAGAGCTGACTGGAGAAAAATAGACGGTGTTTTTATAATCACAAAGGATCAGTAGAGTGCAAAGCCTAACAGGCCTGTTTGTGAATGACACTGTCCTTTTTCCCCCCAGGATTTTATTACATTGGTTACAGCTCAGGAATCACCTTCGTCTTGTGATATTGCTTTATTACTTACTTAAAAAAATATACAACACCTAAAGGCACATTGACGGATTTTTTTTTTGTTGTTGTTGATTATTATTACATTTTGAGATATTAAAATCAGCTTTCTTCTAGGTATCAGTGTGAATACTTGTGTGTTTGCATGAGTGATTCCGTAGTGTGACTGAGGGTTTGGTGCCCTCTAGTGCCCTTAGAATAAAATAGGATAATAATCGCCGTTTTGGCTGTTTTATTTTTTAGATTCTTATTTTTTATTTAAAGAATAGCCAGATTATCCTTCTAGTTGGCACCTGGGCAGAAATAGGCCCCTATTAACCCCCTGCTCCCTCTACATTTTGTGCATTGTGTATGGTACCAGCAGGTGTGGTGTTTGGTGATGCACCATATAAGCACAAAACAAGCTGAAATAATGAAACAGCTAGCTACTCTCTTAAAGTCAGGGCCTCAAAATCAGGTAATAGTATAATAATTGTATTTTAGTAGTGCAAATTCCCAAACAAAGTTACAAATTAATAATATTACCACTGACCAGTTGCCACATTTGGAACAGATCTTGCAGGCATATTTTGCACGGTTTGTAATCCAACTACCATATCATATTCACCATTTCTGTTCACCTCAGCTTAAATGTTACGATGATGCATAGTTAAACAATGGGAAAAAAACATTAGGAGAAGCTCTAATATTCTGCATAGCTCACTACAATCAGTAGGCTATACATGATGTCCACAAAGTCTCCCATCTATTATCATTAAAGCTTCTTCAGTCAGTGCATTAATGTGACACCACGAATTAACGTCTTGGTTCTCCATTTCCAGGCATAGTTACTGGCCTGTGCTTAAATCATGAGTATGATTGTGACATAAGACAGAGAGAGAGAGGTCGTAGTCATGAACCAGGGAAGCGTAAGTGACTACATGTGACAGCACACCACACTTTATCCATGGCAGTCCTGTAGAGAAGAGCATACCTGCTCGCCAAAGCCTCCATCTGTCTGTGGCCCTGCGAGGAGTATCCGCTATTCACCACACTTACACTCTGCCCCATGCTGGTCTGCTTGGTCCACGCCAACGCCAACTCTGCTGGTGAGAGCTATATTTACAAACAGCTGCCGTGGCACTGGGTAGAGTACCATGAGAGGGAGGAGAAGTACTGTTTTGCATGAGCAGGTTAAGCTGTCACACCCCTAATACATTACAGGATCAACTCAGTCATTTGTGTATTTTAGTTTAGCAATGATTAATAACATATTGTCTCTCTTAATATATTATATCTGACAATACATGGGTTCCTGTACAGTTAATGAAAGTCTCTGAGCCAACTTTATTTGATTTTACTTTAATATTTTCTCATCAATAGAAATTTCTGTGTAAATAAACATTTGTTGCAGGAGTCTAACAGGCAAGTAGAGGAGCAAAAGTCATACGACACTGCAGAATAAAGGGCAGGATTGACATGTTTGTTAGCTAAACAGGATGCCATGTGGAGCACATTTTGAATGAAAATAAAAGTCTTAGCACAGAAGCCCACATTGCACATGGCTACTTTATAGTGTTGTCACAATTAAAATATCTCTTATACAAACCCCAGAGCACATTAAATCCACAGATAAATCATATTTACTGAATGTTTTCCCCTCCTTTTGTTTTGGTCTCAAGTGAGATTTATCTTAATTTGCACAATCTTCATCCCACTTTTGCATAAAACACATCCTTTCATGCACTGTATAAAGAGTTAAAAATTTAAAGATGTTTTGTACCACTTTTTTCTCTCATCATTGTCACTTCTGTGCTATCCAATTCTCCTCCTATCACCCTTGCAAACACTTCAGCCTGCTTTCCCTCCGCCTTCCTCACAAGGGGAAGACCAGGAACCCAGAAAAGGTGGAGTATTTCCAGCCTCCCATCAGGTTGCCTCTCTCCAGTCTGAGGTAGGCCTTGTCCCCCTTCTCCATAATCACCAGGCCAGCGTTAGTGGCAGCTTCTCTGGTCACGTCCTGGTCCCCTGCGAAAGCTGAAATCATTGGCCAGCCATTCAGCATCAGGCTGACCTAAGAGAGAGCAAATAAAGGCTTCAGTAAGCGCATGTTCATTCACTGCAATGAAAACTATATGTTTCATAGTTGGGGTATCATACCTGAATAGTTTGTCTATTGTAGGCCTTTACAACATGGAAGTTGAAGCTGTACACGCCTCTTCTTGGTGCCAGGAAGACACTGCTTTCTTGGTCAAAATGAGTGCCCACATTCACCAAAATCTGATGCAACAACAAGGGAGGAAGGAAAAGAGGGACAGAGAGATGTGTGATATACGCATGAAACTATAATGGCTTAACAAGGTATGCCAGAGAAGAAAAAACCTTAGAAAAACCTTTGAGTTAGATCTCAGACTTCTCCCAAGATACTGAGTCATATTTTTACATTTACATTTGACCAACACGTCCATGTAAATGCATCAGAGCAGGCTGCACTGGGATTCTAAAAGCTGAGTGTTTACTTCATTAGCATTTTTCCTCACTGTCAGAACTTTAATCATATGTGCATCTTATTGGCAGAAGTCTTCTGACTACAAAATTCTGGGGGTACAGTTTATAGAAATGTTGTGGGGAAAGTGTTTTTAATCCCGAAACTTTAAAATGGTCAGTGAAATAGAGAGAGGTCTAAGATGAAACTACAACTGAGAACATTGTTGACACACAATTTGACCTCTTGTGACCTCTGAACCATGGACAATTTTATTATATTCATATACTCACATTATCAAAGTAGATGATCATGGTGCGGTTGCTCATGTCCGTGGGCTCATGGTTGGTCTGGCGGCTGGCAGAGAAGGCCACCCGACCGGACCCGGAGCGGACCGACATGCCCAGAGCATTACCGGCGGGCTCAGACGAAGGAGTGGAGTCACATACGACTAAGCATTTTCCTTCGAGGATTATGGGCTCTGTGTCATTCTGGCCCCTAGAACCCATAGGCCCCCACAACAGGAGCACACCCAACAGTATGGGGAGGTTGATGGTGACTGATTTGGGATGCATGACTGATCCTTGGATGTTTAGTCGAATATCTCTGATGGATTCTACTGTATAGAAGTGTCACTTTGGACAACTTGAAATAAAAGCAAACATGCTATGGTGAAGAAAATTGTCTTTGTGAAAATGTTTCAAACTTTAACCTCTATGTCGTTTTGGCTGTACCAGCTAAAGTACATTAATATGCACCCAGGCAGAAATATAACCAGCAGACGGGTCTCAGAACCAAATAATATTCAGAAAACACACCATAGCTGTCAACCACTTCCCTTCTGTTTCATTGTTTGCCCCCCACAAATCCCAAATCTCTTCAGTGGCCTACGTGCTGTGTCAGCAGGGGCCAGAATGACAATCACAAAGAAAGCTCTTGGTATTTTCAAGTTGATTTCTTCAGCAAAAAACCACCTGACACAAGGGCAGAGGAGAAGTAGCTGGGAAAAGGGAAGAAAGGGTTTGAAAAGACAAGGTGCAGCACAGTGAGCGAAGATCCAGGTTTAGACTTTGACTTATGGAGAGAAGTGTGAGATGATAAAAGATGCTGAGGGGAGGCGAGTGGGGAAAAAACAGATGAGGTAAGGTTCTGGAAAGTTGACAGGGAAAAGATGTAGAACCCAGAAGGGAGTGTGAAGGAGAGAGGGAGTGGGGGAACAACTCCACTGAGTGACCATCTGTCTTTTACACGCCCCCCCCGCCACCCCAACGCCGCTCACACGACACACACACACACACACACACACACACACACACACACTACTCTCTCTCTCTCACTTGTGCTTTTGTTTCACACTTATGGACACACATATAATAGCTATACATACAAAAAGATGATGTCACTTTTTGCATTTATCTTTCAGTACATTCAGTACATCTTTAAATACCATTCATTTATCTTTGACCAACATGAGCAACAGCATGTGTGAAAACATCTCTTTCTTAGCTTTAATGAAACTTATTTCATCACACACAAATACAACTGAAGGTTTCACATCATTGCAAAATGATAAATTATTCACCTTAAAACAAGTGTTCTAAAATGACCTGTATTTTAAGTGAATAAAAACGAGATCACCTGTTTCCGTCTGAACAATCTTGTCTTCCATATCAGGTGAAAAAAAGTTGTTTCCTCCCGGCAGGACTATCGAAATATGGTCAAAAATCCCTGTTCTCTTGTTCACCTGCTCACATTATCTCACAGCACGGCAGTCAGTCTGATCGTAACCAAACCAGCGTATGCTCTGATCTCTCTCTTTCCCTGTCTTTCTCTCTCTCTCTTTTTCAGCCACCCCCCTTTCCGTCTGCTTCTTTCTCACCCTCTATGTTACATCCGCCCACTCACCTGTACAGTCAAATAAAAGAAAATGGGAAGATAATTGGGCATCTGAGCTGCTTCAAAGAGCAAAGCTAGCAAGTGAGTGGCAGTTTTTTCCATTTTTATTTCATGTCCAATCAAATCAGCGATTCCTTCTTGTGTATCTTCAACCTGATTTAAAGAGGATCAAATACTCCTTTTGTTGCTTGTTCACGTCCATGTGAAAATATTACACCTCCAATGCTTTATGTAACTGTGTAGCTTCTTTTAAAAGACACTAAAGCAGATTGGATTAACAGGATATATGTGCCAATTTCTCTGAAGATATTATTTTAGTCTAGACACATTGACATAATTTGGTTTTCACAAAATTTAGCTTTCAGTCAGATATGCTTAAGAAAGGATGGAATGAGTTAGTGTCCAGTTTAAAAAAACATCTGATAAAAAGGTACCAACATTTACAACCTTCTTTAACTTTATTGTGCTGTTTCACTGTGTTTCTTTTCTCAGTGGAATGAAAAGCACATAAGAATCTTTCAATGCTGTACAAAACCTCTTTCTGTCCTTTTTCAAAGGAGCCTCCTCATTTGCTGTCCAGCTAGGATCCACTCATATCCTCTCTGCTCACTTTTTCCTGCTGGAAATAATTTCCTTGTGAATATCACCTGGTCACAGTTTTAGGAGACATGGTTTTGTCTCTTTAATGAGGAAGAAGTTGAGCTCAGCCTGAGATCTGAGGGGAGCGAAACACCAGAGAGGCTCATGGTGAAGGTTTCATCCCAGGGTTGTGCGGTTCCAGATGTGTGAAAATAAATCAATGCCACTTTGAATTGCCATGCCTTTGTCTAAGTTGAACCTGGCCATTGCCTTTAAGTGTTATTTTCAGACTTTGACAATAGAGATACGGCTGTTGAGCTCAGCTTTGTAGAGTCCAAAGCCCAAGCACACTGGCTGAGTGAACGCAGTCGAGAAAGTGTGGAGGTGGGTCAGGTTACTAGATGGTCCCACCTCGGAGAAGGTGATGGTGCCTGCACCGTAGTCCAGAGCAACGGCAACACGGTTGCCAGTCATTTGGTTGGTGAGACGGGTCTTCCTGCGGTTGTGCCAGGCAGCCAGCTTCCTGTCATGCTGCTGTGTCAAGCTCCATGATACCTGGAAATTTATCAAAGGCATTTTAATGAAGGAACATGCTTCCCTTTGAAACAAGAGCTCGAGCTTGAAATTAATTGATTTGAATGAATTGATAACAATGTGGATAATGGGTTAGTTCTATATGTAATTTTAAAGCATAAATTCAATGGTTTTTCAAATGTAAAGATTTGCGGCTTTTCTTTGTTGTTTGAATAAATCATGACAAAGAAAGATAGTGAAACGTTCCTACATTAATTAATACATAAATAATGTCATATTTCCATCATGTTTTCTACATTGTTTTTCACAGTTTGAGGTTTGACTGGTGCTCTCTAAAGTTATGTTATCTTGTTGCACTTTCTTCTTCCTCAATGTCAACATTTCCTTTTGCTGAATTTGCACTGTTTTTGGACAAAAACCTATAGTGCCATGTCAATTTGAAACATTTTTATAACTGACAGAAATTGCTGATTTGGCAGGCAGTCTTCACAAGCAATGGTGCTGCACTTTACATTGTGCGTCACCACATTTGATGTAAAAATGTTGAGTTGCTTTAGGCCACAAAAGGAAGATGGTTTTGCTGCAGAACTCAGAAAGAGAGTTCTGTTGTTGTGTTGAGTGCAAACGAACAGTTTCTGCTATGACACATGACTGACGAGTGATGAGTGAGAGTTCAAATGAAAATTCGGTGAAAACAGCTTTTTCATTTTCACTGAAGCCAGACAAACTCAGAGATATGTCAGGGAAAAGTGGTCAAAACACTACACCACTAGCATCAAACAGAGGCTCCCACTCAATTAATTTGTTCACAGAAATGTCTGTAGGTGGCATAAATACCTTGTTGTTACCAAAGGCATTGCCCTCTTTCCCCTTCCGTCCAATACTTCTATAGCAGATGCCAATATCCCAGAATCCCTCAGCCTCTAGCTCCCAGTAGTGGGTCCCAGAGGAGAGGGTCTGGGTGGCAAGGACCTGCGGCCAGTGGTCGAAACGCTCGGGGTGAGCAGCGCAGGGCAAGCGGCTTTTAACCCGCATCACTGAGCGAAGGTCATCAGAGATGCTCAACAGAGGGTGGGCCGTGTTAGTGTCCAGAGTCAAGGGACTGGTTACTGTATCAGAGGGAAATAAAACTATTAAATATCTTTAGTTGCTCGAGTTACATTACTTTCTGCTGGTTCAGTATGTTCACTGACAGTATGTTGTTGCTCATGGGAAAAACAACAGTTTTCTTTCTTAAAAACTTGTTAAATGAGATTATCATATTTTACATTTTTACATTAACATTGGAAGTTTACTGATAAGATCAATGTTAGTGTCGTAAATATTAAGCAAAGACAGGAGAGAGTTAGCTTAGCTTAGCATAAAGGCTGGAAGCAGTGGAAAACAGATCACCCAAAGGTGCAACAGCACTGAAGATCACTAATTAAAAAGTTATTTCTCGTTTGAATTAAAAATGACAAATGTGTGGGACTTTGGACAGACCCAGACGAGGTGTTTCCCCATTTTCCCCAGTCATTATGCTAAGCTAAACTTACCAGATACTGGCTGTAGCTTCACATTTAACAGCCAGATATTAGAGTGGTTTCAGTCTTCTGATCGGTCTCTCAGCAAGTCATTTCACAAAATGTCAAACCATTCCTTTCAGAAAGGTAAATAAATGGGGTGGGTGTGTGTCACCTATCTGCCACTCACAGAGCTCCCTCTTGAGTTCGCTGAGGCAGCGGAGGGTGGCAGTGATGAACTCTCTATACTTGCTCTCTATGTCCTCCAAGATGTGTTTCCTGTCCAGAGTGACGGCGTCAGGGATGAAAAGCGGGCTGTTCAGGTCTGCTAGTAACCTAGAATTAAAGAGCACAACACATACTGCAAATCTCATTTTACAGAATGACCTATATATTAAAGGCTTGTGTAATGAAATAATTGCATTCATCATTTTTTAACCTTCCCTTTATGCCTCACTGTCTTTACTATCTATACTGCCTGACTACTCACACACACATCAACACATCTATGGAAATAGTCAAGCCAAGGTCACATAGGTACCTAACATCACACAGTGTCTTTGACTTGTTCTGGACTTACTTTGTGTCATCTGATTGAAAGGCCTGAGAAAGAAACATGACATAAAAGAATTCACTTACAGAAAGAATAAGTCTACAAAAGTAATCATTGTCGTACAATAGCCAGTTTCAAGGCCTTCACTCAGTAAAACAAAATATATTTTTTTCTCCATCTTTGTCTTACATTTACATTTACTCATTTGTCAGATGCTTTTATCCAAAGCAACTTACATTTGAGGAAAAACATACAGGCATCAACAGAGCATCAAATACAGATCTACAACTGACAATAAATACTAGTAAGAGCAGCAATAAATACTAGTAAGAGCTCATAGTTCATATCAGATCAATGGGGTAAATACCCAGGGAAGGAAGTAAGAGTTAACAAAAAAAGTGCATTCAATACAAGATAATTGTAAGGGGATAGAAGAAGAAGAGCACCTGAAGTGCATGTTAGAGGTTAGGAGTTAGAGGTGTTATAAGAGGAAGTGTTCTCGGAAGAGATGAGTTTTCAAGAGCTTCTTGAAGTTAGAGAGGGACGCCCCTGCTCTGATGGTGTGTGGTAGCTCGTTCCACCATCGTGGTGTCACAGATGAGAATAGCCGGGACTGGGATTGATTTGTGAAGGGATGGCAGAGCCAGGCAGCGTTCGTTGGAGGAGCGTAGCGGCCGAGAAGGAACGTAAGTTTGTATTATGGATGTATTATGTCTTACTACTAGCACATAATCCTACACTTTCTTCTATGAATATAATAAGAAATAAATTCCACTGTATTAATCATTTTAAAGGGCATATGAGAAGTGGATTGTGATATTTTATATTTAATCTCACAAAGCTGCTGGCTCTCTGGTGCGGTCAGAACAACCTGGAGCTCAACACGCTCAAAACTGTGGAGATGACTGCGGACTTCAGGAGGAGCCCCCCCACTCTGCCCCCCATCACCATACTCAACAGCCCTGTGTCTGCTGTGGAATCCTTCAGGTTTCTGGGATCCACTATATCCCAGGACCTGAAGTGGGAGCCCAACACTGACACCATTATCAAGAAGGCCCAGCAGAGGATGTACTTCCTGCGTCAGCTCAGGAAGCTCACATGCCTAAGAACCAGCTGATCCAGTTCTACACAGCCATCATCCAGTCTGTTCTCTGCACCTCCATCACTGTCTGGTTTGGATCTGCCACCAAAAAGGACAAGGACAGACTACAACGGACAGCCAGGACTGCAGAAAAGATCATGGGTGCCAACCTGCCCTCCATTCAGGACTTATACATTTCCAGAGTCAGGAAATGGGCAGGACACATCACTGCAGCTCCATCTCACCCAGCTTCTCCCCTCTGGTAGGTGCTACAGAGCACTGTACGCCAAAACCAACAGACTTAGAAACAGTTTCTTTCCACAAGCCATCACTCTGATGAACAGCTGATTTCTGACTCACGGTGTCAGGAACAATTCCTGTGCAATAACCCAGTAACTCTGTCTCTAATCAGCCACCTGTTTACTAGCTAACATTTATTATTTATTCACCATTCTCTATTTCAGTGCTGTACATACTGTTATATTCTCATATTGTAGATACTGTTTACCAAATCCACCTACCTCAAGTCATTACTCCTGCACAAAATACTTAAAATTATTTATTCCAGCATCCTTTGCACAATACTTCATTGCACTGTGTACATGTGTACATGTGTAAATGTATATGTACCTGTATATCACATCCACCCTGACATGTACATACTCCTGCATCCTTTGCACTCTGCTTACTTAGGTTCAAGGATTTATGGTCATACCAAGTGAATGACTGAATAAGTATAGCCTACATAGAAAATCTACTTGAATGGTGCCATTTAAAAATCATGTGACCCTAAATTTAAGACATTGAAAAGCTGAATCAACAGCACAAACATTCTCACAGCTACACAAAAAGGCTACTCACAGAGAGGAAAAGCCACAATTAAGACTACAAGACAAGAAGTTTCAAACAATCATGTTATTGTTTTAAAATGTTTTCTGTCGCTTCACAAAAGTTATAACGTAAGGAATTCTTAGACTGAACATATTCCACTTATCTAACTGACAGACATTATCATGAAGTTGTAATTAGGCTTTCTTAAAATATTATTTTATTGATCTATTCATATTTGTTTGTACTTATATGTGTGGAAATGTGTGTTCATCTGGCTTGTATTCTATCCTTCTGGCATCCAGTCCAAGCGGGAACCTCGGAGTCTGAAAAGTGAAGCCTTAAATCTGGAAGTAGCCACCATGATGTCATCCACTAGATTGTGGACTACCATTTTGAAGCCTCGTGTCTGACATATCGTCACCATCGTGGGTTTTGTTTTAGAACCAGAAGTGACCATATTTGGACGAGAGGTATTTAAGAGGTTCTTAGTATTTAATACTATGGAACAGCCACAAGAAATTGTGTGAACGTTAAGCCTCATTTCACATTGCTTTTTTTGGAACTTCATATGCGGCTGGGTTGAGATATTCTGCTTAGTACACAAGAAGCTGAATCAGTGGTTCATTTCCACAAGCGAGAGAACTGTTTCATCATAATGTTAGACTACCCTGCTTACACAATAATATGATTCAAATCATGATCAGAATTGTACCCATTTCTATGACCTACTC